ATAACCTATCTTGCCTGTTCTCTGTGATGATTTTTACTGCAGTGCACTGCTAACACGCAGGATATCAGGCCATACAGATGAAGCGCCCTGCCAAAGCTCTTCGTGCAGACTGTTATAACACTGTATGGACAATTGATTATGTGTATGAAAATATCATCCTTACTCATCAATCCATCCTTTATAAATTGCAAGCTGTCCCACTTGCCCCCCTCTGCAACAGTCAAACCTTTGTTTGCGTCTAGCAAGTAATTTACCCAATGCTGTTTAAAAGAGTAGCAGAGGCTAACTGGTCGATAACCATATTAATATACTGTAAGAGTATGCTTACTGATCTCAGGAATGCCAAGATGCACTCCAATTTTGGCATGCAGGCAGACTCTCTCTTTTCACTTCAATCTATCACTTGTGCTGAGTCTTGCAGAAGCAGTGAAGAGATTATTTTCACTGCGGGCAATCATTTCAGCTTAGCAGTGCATGTCTGGTAAGAGGGGAGTGAAAAAAAAACAGCCTTACAAATGCGTAAAGGCACGTGTCAGAAGCCCTAATGATAACTATACATGGCTGTTGCCTCGGTTTCAATTAAGTATGAGCCCAAACCATATTCAAAAGCCGTCAGGCTGGATGGCAGGCCAATTATTTCAATGCAGGTACAAAGTCAGTAACGTCCAAATCTACAGAATGTAGAAAACAAGACAGGCGAGAAGAAGAGGAATCTTGTATGCTTTGACTTTAGTGGTCAATTTACTTCAGGTAATAATCTAATACATTTCATGGTAAATGTGCACTGACCAAGAAAATTATTGAGTTGGAAGAAGTGAAAATAAAGCAGGAGGTGTACTTTCCAAGGAGTTCAGATATCCTCCCTCTTTCTGTCTCTCTCCCTCTCCCTCTTTTTCTCCCTCTATCTCTCTAGAGACCATAAATACAAGCTAAGTAGAAGGAGAATAGCATATTTATGTTTTCTGGAATTCAACCATTCAGTTCTTCGGTCTTTGATATGCGACACACTACAGCTATGTCTCTGAAGAGTAATTGTTTCCTGTATGTAAATTATTAATAGAATGACATATTTGCAGCGCATCTTGTTGACTGTTAGAAATTTGATGCACTTGTCTGAGACAAAAAGTGCACTGCAGTAATGTAACATTGTGCTTTTCTTGCAAAGGCACCCTGCCACAATGAAGATTGATCAGAGTCACTTAAAAATAGTTGAGGAAAGAATGTTTTTTTAATTTCCTGAAACTCTTCTATTTGTTTAATTTGCCTTATATTTTCATTTGATTTTAGACTGTAAATTTGGCCTTTCATTATTCACAATATTATTCAAGTAAGAGCCATATTGTATTTAGGACAACTGAGTGATCAGTTTCTAGTTCAACTTAAGTCCAGTATTTCATTGTGGGCTGGAACCACTGAAGGGTGAATCCCTATTTGATCTTAAGATGAATAGTGTGGCCATGCAGTGCTAGATGGTATTATTGATTATTTCATTAAGATTTACTTCTTAATGTTTTTCTACCATTTTTACTGCTTTTTGTATTCTTTTTATCATTATTTTCTACTGATAAGTGTAAGCAGGTGATATTCACAAGAACGGGGTCAGGCTAAATTAAATTTGTTACAGTGTGTATTTTATTCGTTTTTAAATTCCCATATTTTATGATCTATACATGAAATGGGGAGGCTGGCAGTTTGAGTTGCACTGGCAAAGCCCTTCCCGGGTGAACTGTGATTCACAAAGAGCGAGAGAGGAAAGAAAAGACTGAAGAAAAGCCTGTCTCCCCGTCAGTCTCTGAAGTGAAATGGATGTGTAATTTATTATCTAGAGAGACCTGTTGTAAGCAGAAGAGCTGTGTATGTGTTGTGGTAGATTGTGAGTTGTAGTATGTTAAATGACAGCCTGACTGGGCGAGATTGAAAACACTGCTCAGATCTACTGTCAGACTGTCACTGGGTTGACGTACTGTACTAGTAGAGATCATTTTTTTAACCACTGTTATTGCTACTACTGTAAAGCATTTGCAGATTGCTTGTGTGTTAATTTATTAATTTATTGTGCGTTTTGCAGTTGATAATTGTAAAAAAAACAAAAAAAAACAACAACAACAACCAAACAAGGAAACATTCTCTCTACTAACATTGATGTATGCAAAGTGTCTTGATTTTGTGAAGCAATATGACAAACGATGCCAGTGTGATGGTAATGTGGTACAGTTCATTTGGGATACACATGAATACAAGACTTTGTTATTCCTGTATTATGGTAGACTTAAACTGTGGACATAGAATAAATCAAGAAGTGAAAGAATGGTGCTAAGGTTCCTCTTTTAAATATAAACCAAAATACTGTTTTCTGGCAGACACGATACCGTTACTCATCTTTCACCCACACATTCTTAATTGGTGCAGTAATGCAAAGAAGTTGAATGTCTGCTGCCCCCTGTCGTGTAGGACAGCAGCTGCATCCTTTGGTTTAGTGTACGTATTAGATGATAATTTACTTTTACTCTAGTTGAGGGTTACCCTTGTATGAGTTTTCGAAAGCTGGTACACATACCAGTGATTTGAGTCAGTATTTATGGCTGTAAATCTTTTTGTACTAAAAGCTTACAAATATGCATTCCCATATGCCTCCGTCATAACTTCAGTCTTACACAGGAAAGTGACTAAAACTGCATTTTTACTTAAAAATTGTAAAATGATACATTTAATATATCATAACTTATAAATAAATAAGTGTAGAAATAAGAATATGTTTCTTCAGATCTCCTGTTATTGTGATCTTTTTCCAGTAATCACCAATGAGTAATATTCCATTTCCTGGCAAATAAAAATGATTAATCAGTTAAACATGTCTTAGTAAACCAAGATGCTAATGACAGATTAGATGACTCACTGAATAGTAAAGGCAGCTAAAAAAAACTAGACTATTTCTTTACTCTAAAACCTCTTGCAGAGTGAACTCTCTTTCTCATGGATATCACTGATACTGATGCTGGCCAGTGTACACGTAAAGGCCAAAACTGAACCCCATATATAATTGGTCTGCTCCTGCTATGGGCAGCATCTCTTATTTTTAACAATTCTTGTGATACATAAGGAGCTCCTTCTAAATGTGTATGGCTCCTTAAGGAATATGTGGCTTTGTGCAGTAACAGGTTTGTAAATCTTTGAAAATGTTAATCAGTATCTGTGGATTTGAACTAGTTTTTCAGTCAGACTCCTGTCAGACTTTTTCTATGAAAACACAAGATCCACTGGGTATGTAGAAATTCTGCAGGATTCTTCATTTACATACAACAGCATTTCTACAATCCAGATGTTAGATTTTTAAACTCCTGTGAAGGGTGATCATTAAATGATTGCTGAACATGATGCACACATGACTAAAACTTGTTTTTTTTTCTCAGTTACTTACCAGCAGAGTATTCTGCAGTAGTCCTGCTATAAATAATTGATTGAAGGTGTTCTTATGATGCAGGCTGTTTTTAAAGCAACATCCCCATGTGTTTATGGTGAGGATGACAGACTCTTTTGGACTAAGCAGAGCCTAAGTTCCACCAAGTAACAAAACAGTCAATGAGGGACTAACTTAACACCAAATAATATTGTCTCTATAAACATAACAGTGTCTATAACAGTTAACTGAACAGTTCATTTCCCATCATCTATGACAGAGGATACCTGGAGCCTGTTAACAAGCACACTACCAAAGGCTTTTCTACAATTATCATTATTAATATTATTACACTTTTTAGTTATTTTTTAAAGGGCAGGAAGGAAAGTCAGTTTTCTCTTTGCTCTTTCTGTGTAGACTGTGTATAGTCTCCCCATGTTTTTGTGGGGTTTTTCTAGTGCTTCAGTTTCCTTCTGCTTTACAAAAACATGCATCCTGTTTCTGTGAATGTCAGTATGATTGTCTGTCTGTGGTTGTAACCCTTAGTACTGACATCCAGTATTCATCTTCATCTACTAAAGGGTGAGACTGCAACCACCTTTGACACACAACTTCAGATTAGTAGGTGATGAATAACTGAAAGTATTTCACAATGATTTACGCAGAGAGAGAGAGTAGACAAATCCAACTAAATTCACTTTACCCATATTTTAGTGTGAATGGTAAGTAGCATTAAAATTTAAATTTAAATTTTCTCCTTCTATTTAGATGTTGATGAATGTTTTAAGCAACAGTCAACAGTTGTAAATAAAAAAAAGAAGTGACTTGCGTGATTTCAGCTACACCCGCCCCCTCAGTTTCCAAAAAATGGGGCAAATGAGTGTTCATTGTTTTAATGTGTTGCTTGACTTGCATGCTGACTAGGCAAACATATGGCTTAGCAGACAGAGACAGTAAGAGGTTTATTGACCTGCAACTTGCAACATAGTAATTTGCCATTATTTAGGCTATTTGCAGTCTTATTGTTTATTTCTTAATGTAAGAATCTGATAAAGTTGTGGAATCTTAGTTACTACTTTATTACAACCAAAAGGAAGCTTTCTTAGTTGACAGTTTGACTGTCCACCCTTGGGATTAATTATATCTGTAGGCTATATCTAATGTTGTATTGACACCCTGTCACCAACGTTTTAAAATGACTTAAAGTGCAACTTATGGAGGTAGTAATAAAAGTTATAGTGTAGTTAATTATTGTGACATTATTCTGGAAACCATAAGCACCAAATGTAATTCAGTATGACTTTCTGAAGTAGAGGAGACCTTTGAAGGGTCTAATCTATACACCACAATTTGAAAGATCACAAACACCATCACAAGATCTCTTAAACCATAAAGCTATTAGCCTATAAATCTGCACCTGCTTTATCGAATACCTCTAACTGCAAATGCAACATTAGTGTCATATTTAACTATCATTAAAAGGATCCTCCCCTCTCCTGCCACGGTCCATAGCCTACCTTGCAGGACAGTTCACCCTTCAGTCCACCAGAGTGTGCATTTGGACCCCGCTACATCCATATGCATGTATCATGTCAAAAGAGGAATGTTCATACAATGAGGGTCTGTGTATTGTAGTTCCGCTATTGCCTCGGTGCACCACACGGACAAACGATTGTCAATGGACTATGTGAGACGGATTTCAATCGGTTTATGCAACGGCTTCCTGCGCTTCGGCTGCGTGGTTTTTGACTTGTAGTTTGCCACCAGATCCCTTTTATCCGGATGGAAAGAGAAAGACAGAGAGAACGGACTAATTTCCAAACAAAAATGCCGTGAGTCTTGAAGTTTAGTGGATTTTGTGTGTCTAGCGGTTCTGCTCTTTTAGCGACCAATCGCTCACTTTGAATATATAGTTGGAAGTCGTACTCTTTTCTGACTATTTAATAAGTATGGCACATTTGAGATAAAGTAAGCCGACCGTGTGCCAGGGATCTAGGCTACCCATCGATGAAACTGAAGTTGTGCGTGCTATGGTTTTGAATCATCCAAGGGATTCATATTGAATATAATTTATCTGTGAGCAGAGGTCGAGTCGTTAAGCAAGAGCGGATTCATTCCAGCTGTGAGTCTTGTGTGAGTCTTTCATGTTTGTAAATCATTTCAGTTTTAATTATAAGCTGACATAGTAACACCCCTGAGGAAGAAATCACGAACACAATTCTGTAACATTGGGACTTTTGAATGCCTCTGGAACATAGTCTGAGTTTATGCTGACCTAATCTTACTTTATAGGCAAGAGTTTTTTTATCCTCCAACCTTATCACTATAACATTTCCAACTAGTTTGAAGAGATCATTGTGCACCATATCTTTAAACAGATATTATCGGCTACATCTCTCTCTTAAGTGACTTTGTGCGTGCAGTGTAGTATTTTTCTTTCCACATGGGATCATAGCTGAGTGCATACGTCTTGTGTTCTTCCATGCCCGTACTGTGGTCCATTATAAGCTCAGTGGACCTCAGTCTCGATAAACTTGTCGGGGACCTGCGGGCATGGGAGAAGCGACCCCTGCTCAGTCTGCTGCAGGGCCATTCGTACCCATGTTGGGTGTCGGTTTAGGAAATATGCCCGGTGGAGTCGGCAATGGCCCGGTAGTCGCCACCTCCAGAGGCTCCGCGGTGCCACAGCTACACAACGCCATTGTGGAGCGTTTGCGCGCCCGCATAGAGCTGTGCAGGAGGCACCACTCCACCTGCGAGAACCGCTACCAGAGGGGTCAGGCCGAGACCTCGGACCGGGAGCATGAGAGCACGCTTCACCTGCTCAACATAGTCCAACAAGGGCCTGGGAACCGAAAGGCAAAGGGCAGCCGGGGATCGAACCAGCAACCCCCAGAGTACAGCAGGGCCAACGGAGAGCAAAAGGGCTCAGAGGGCGAACAGAAGATTTCCACACGCATAGCGGTGAGTGTTATCTTAAAGATGATAATGATGACTATGGTAAAGCTTGATGATGACACGATGGTGGTTGTAATTACCATGGTGGTGGTGACGGTGGTGATGATGGTATGGCTGCTGTTACTTGTGATGATAAGCAAACGGTTAAAGTTGTACACAAACTTAAGACAACAGAAGGTGACCTGGTATTTGAGCAATGTGTCAGTCTGCTGCAGGTGAGAGCTGCAGTTACTTCAGTGATAATGTTTTTACAGAACTACTCAAAAATGACTTTGCTGTGGCTTGATTAACAAACAGTTGAGCCTATGTCCAACCTTACAAGACAACCCAATTCAGACCAAACAGTCAGGAAATGTTTTAAAACGGCAGTTAAAAAAAATTCCTGATTCCTGATTTTGCTGATTAAAGGGGCCCCTGTAGTAGATGGGATGATACAGGATCAAAAAGCTTGTTTGCAAAGCAATCCATTCAGAGGAAATGGTTTTTGGGGTCATCGGTTCATGGTGATGTTTTGCATTTACAACTAACCATGTCAGCATCTCTACTGTGCAGCTGATCCAAACAGAGGGATGCAGATGCATTCTGTGGCTGGTTTAACCCATTTAATATGCACCGTTATCTAATTTTGCAGATAATTCAGTTTCCTTGTGTGTGTATGTGTCGAATTAGATGCTACCTGTCACTGAACAGGGTTTCTCTAAGGAAGTTTAAGGTCTTTTCTCTAGTAAAGAGCTGTATGACCTTAATTTTGTTTCGAGCCTCATTTTGTAAATTTGAAGAATCTACACAGTAATTCTATTGAGAAAGGACAGTATAGTTGGGATGTTCCCCCAATAACAGAGCCTTGCAAAGAACATAGCACAGGGAAACTTAACTGTGAAACACAGCAGGGCTTTCTGTGTGCCTGCTATTGCTGATAGGACTGACTTCCTGTATGGCATCTGTTAAGGACACAGCGAGTGAGATGTGAGATTTATTTTGTTGTTTTCTTTCATTGGGCATGAGGGAGTTCAGAATCAAGACTATGAATTATTTCCCAAGCAGCATTTCAATATAGTGTCAACAGGGTGAAAGCTTGCAGATGTTCCTGCTCTAGATTTGCTTGAGATGTTGGATGGAAAAATAAACAATGTAATATTTTTTTCCAGTAAAGCCATAAAAGGGCAGTGATGATTGTCCTGTCAGTTCATTTATTGTCATCACTGGAATTGGGCATGGGATAGCCTGTACTACATGTCATGCAATTGTATTAGCTTATGCCTTTATCAAGACTTTCACATAGGAGAAAAGTAGATTTTCCATGATTTATAGTGCTAATATAAAGTGCAGCACAGCCGTGGAACATGACGGGAGGCAAGACTCAACAACATCATGGATTATACTGACTGTCTAAAACAGGTCAGGGAACATCATTATCATGTACTGTTTCATTTTTACTGATGTTGACTCTGGAGTAGCGTGTTCTACATAAAACTGATGAGTGCAGCAAGATGGTGAGGAGGAAATGAAGTCCTGGCGCACATGTTTTTATCAACCCTGAGGTTAATATGTTTTTCACAACTCATGATGATTGGATGGAACAGAACAGCAGCCACTGCAGAAATCCCCCTTAATGCATTTATACTGTATCCCTCCACCATTAATGCTGCAGAGAGTTCTTTCTTGAATGTATTCAAATTGAGTAAAGTGTATAATAATACTGGGAATCAACTTAAGAAACCTTAAAAAACAAAACTTAAAAGATGTATTTCATGAATAATCTCTGGCTATAAAAAGTGTACAGCTTGTGTTTCAAATATTTCCTGGGGTGCAGTAATAGTTCACCATACTACATTCTTCTGAATTAAAAAAGTAAGGCCTCCACAATGGCCACATCTGTGCATGTTATTGACTGTTCACATTGGAATTTGCGATGGAAATGTACACCAAGTGAGGGGCAAACAACACAATGGATTATGACTGGCTGGGAGTGCAGAGTGAGCAGCACTTAACAACGGTGCTCATTGAGACCAGATTAACAAAGGATATTCTTTTAGATGAAATTGGAGAAATGGGGAAGAAGAGATGAGAGCTTACTTATCCAACGACTCAGAAAATGATTTTCCATAATGCTTGCATGAACTCATAGCAAGCTTTTGGGATAGTCATATTTTAGATGTTTTTTTCCAACCAGTTTTTCAATCTTTTCCCTCTTACCTGTATCAGTAAATGCATTCAGCGCAGAAATAGGTCAGAGTAGAGCTTACAAAACATTAGTCCTGTATTACAATGTACAGACATTCAGTTTCATCAGATCGGGATCCAGCAACCATCTCACATTGTCTATCAACAATACAGATAGTGAGTACACAAACTAAAGGCTTAACAAACAGTGATACGGCCTTGCTGTACGTAGCATGCCATGCATTGTCATGCCCTATTATCATGCGTTTAACAAATGGCTCACTAAGCACCTTCTTGAAAGATGTGCTGGCCATGAAACTGTTTGAAGCACAAGGCCCCCATATAAATGTTTAGAGCCACTGAATACATTTCCTGCACGTGTTTACTTTAAGTCAAACAGGCCTTGAAAAAGCAGTAGGAGAGGGATGCCTGGTGATTAACAGTCCTATGTGCACTGGGAGGATTTTGTTATTTCCCAGTCTTGTTGTAGTGACAGATCTGAGAACTACAGGTCTAGAGCAGCAGGCGCCCAGAGAAAGTGCTCTGTATGCTGATGTATTTGCTTGTTTTGTTTGCAAGTGGTTGTGACTCTTTGTGTCCACCACACAGCTTCAGCTCTCTTTAAAAGCTGGTGCGTGAGGCATTCTGGTCATCTAGTGGTCTAAAAGACAAACCACAAAACCGCAACATCCCCAGTTTGAATCCGGCTAAAGAACTTTGTATTTATGTCATCCTACTCTCTCTCCCCTTATGCTTCCTGTCACAATCTACTGTGAGCTGCCCAATAAAGGCACAATGCCAAAATACTCTTTAATCTTTGTGTTAATCTGACACAATTTCAGCACCTTGGACAAAACATAAAAATGTACAAATGCTGTTGGTTGCACTTTTGATTTTGATGACAGATGTTCCCAACTTGGGGGTCAGGACCCACACAAAACGATTGCTAGATAAATCTGAGGTGCTGCAAGATTAGGAATTGGACAAGATTAGGAAAGGAGAAAATCTGCTTCACAAAATTATGTTTACTTTTTCAGACTTCGCTCAAATTTAGCCTGTTTTTCATTTGGTAGTTCTTTGATACTTTCATCTTCCAGGCTTGATTACAATAAAACAAGGAAAGAAAATAACTCTTACCATTAATTTGCTGAACAGGTAGACTATAAAATGGTATTAAGGAGTCACAGGTTGACACTGTATTATTTTTAAGGATCACAAACCAAAAAGGTTGCAAACCAGTACCTTATGGTGTCGGTCCCTTTACAACACTTCCAGTGTACTATCCAGCACACTATAAACCAGAATAGTCAATTCTATAGCTAAATACTTCCTTGTCCTGTAGGAGTCAAATACATTTTGATAAAATTTAAGTTCATGTTTTACAAAATAAAACTGGAACTGAAATCATATTGAGCTTTAAAGGTTCAAGAGTATTTGTCCCCTCATATAATCTTTGTGTGACACATTGTTGTATTTACATTTCTAGTACATTTTGTTCAACATGACATGAATGTTGACAATGAAACAGAACACAAATATTAATTCATTGTCACTGAGGTTCCCACTGACCAGTGGATTGACAGCATACTTAAATGGAGAAAAAGACTTTCATTGTACTCTTGTGGTCATGTATGATGGATGAAGAGTGTGTGAGTGTGGGGTGGGGTGTTCACTGTAAGTGCTTCCTGGCATACCCTGTTTCGCTGTTGAAATGCCTGAATCAGAGCTGCTGGTGGTCTGATCTCAGCCTGGCTCGGCTGTGATGTGAAACAATTAGCCCAGGTCCATGGGGGCCACCCACAGTGAAGCCCACAGCTTTACCCAACCCTGTTGATGCAGCAAGGATCCATGTTCATCCCACAGATCACTTCCATGTTGTCATGGGAAGGCTAAAGTTTTTCTTTTAGGAGTAGCTGGTTGTCAGTTGGTCTGAATGCTGAATTACTTTAAGTCCCCCTTTAGTGAGAAACGAAATCGCTGCGGGTGCTGTTTATTGACAGCACGACTACACTGTAAGCCTGATGTGATTAAGCTTGTCTCATTGTGTAGACTGTAGCTGTGAGATGAGTCGAGCATCTCATAGTGCTCTGATTAAAAGACATTAAGATAGGCCTCCATATACTGTAGTAAAGCCATCTGTTAATCTCCTCCTTCTATTTGAGATTAGTGCTCATTCCAAATATGTTTTAAACACAATCCACAATCCAATTCTACTTATGCATAGTGCAGTTTTTTTGTGTGGAATATGTATTTAAAATGTCCTCTAGTATTTGAATGTGAGTTTTTGTAAAAAAAAAAAAAAAACAACCTAAATTTAGAATGTAATAAATTTCACAGTATTCTGTTTTCATTGTGATCAGATCAGCTATATGTTTATTACGATAGTTTGAAAAAAAGTTTAGTCAAATGGGTGTTTATTATTGACAGATCATAATACTGGACCCTAACTGTATGAGAGTAATACTTATTTGTACAAATGCTGCAGATTTATCCGATTGAAAGATTTGGGTAGTTATAGATTTTGGTTTGATATAAATGCGTTATCTCCTATACACGATCCACCATATATTTCATGTAATAAAATTATACGCAGTGGCATAATAGTAAAGTACGCTCTGGAATGTGATTGAAATGATAGTCTTCTGGTAAAATTTGCTCAAGAGATTCCAGATTCACTTCGGGCAGTAACATGCATCCATGGTGGATATTATGACTTCGCCATCCATAAATTCTTGTGTCTTCTGATTGACACCACATAAACAGAAGGAATCATCATTACTTTTAATTCCGGTACACAGTACAGTGGCTTTTTACTGATGCACATCAGCCAAAAGTTAGGACCA